CACCTGCCTGCGCCAGGGGTTCCCCGGCCGCAAGATATGAAAAAGCGTGCCGGCGTACGCCCGCTACTTTCCCGGTGCCCAGGCGGCGGGCCACCCGTTCTCCGACGCCGGCGAGATGAACTATTGCGACTTTCCGGCGGCCTGGGTGGAGCAGGCGCGCGTCGACGAAGAGGCGGCGGCGGCGTGGCACGTCGATCCCGACAAGGGGTTCGCGAGCTTCGACACGCCGGCGAGCGTCCGCATCAAGGCGCGCTGGGTCAGGGAGAGGCAGCTCGGCGGGCTCATGTACTGGACAGGCTCGGCGGACCGGCCGGGCAGGGAGAGTCTTGTGAGCGCTGGGTATCTGGAGATGCACGGGTATGCGCCGCTGTAGGTGCCTGCATGTTGTTTCTCCCCTTGTTTCTGAATACCATGAATCAGGTCATCATTGCGATGAACAAATCGACTCGCCAATAAAATCAATACCCTTGATCAAAGTGAACCTGAGGCTCTGCCAGAACCGTCTTGATTTTTCAGCAAACCCCGTTCCCATTGGCGCCCACCGCGCGCGATCTCATGGTGCCCCAAGCGCGCGCAAATAGGCCCCAGCGCCCTCTCCTCCGAGAGCCTCTATAAAAGTCGCCCGTCCTGCCCGCCCATTTCCCTTTTCCTCTTTTCTTCTTCATGTCGACAATACTTCAGTACGCCGCCCCCCTACAGCTAGCTGCCTTCTCCGACAGCAGCAGTCGCTAACGAAGCACAGGAGAATCATTTCTATAGTATTCGACCTACTCTGGGTTCTCCAAAAGAGCCACAGATCCCACCCTGGTTGATGATGTATATCCTCGACACCCTAGAGTGAATGGCTCTGGTTGCCCTCGCACTGCCTGCAAAGGTGGCGGCTCTCTCCTTCTGGGAGGAGCTGTACAGAGGGCGTTTGATGATCTCGTCCCTGTCTTGCGGTCTTGCCCTTGGGCGCGCGGTGGGGTGGTGTTGACGGGACGTCTGACAGGCGGGTTCTTTTTTCTGCTTTTTCATTACTGCTGGGCGTGTCCCGGTTGTGAAGAAGATGTAGAAACGAAGAGATCGGATTGGGTTGCACATTTGGACGAGCATCAAATTTATTTTGTCCCATACATATTGCGACCTCTGTCAGGGCACGTTTCACTCAGCGTCCACTGTATTAAATTGAAGAGCCTACCTGAGAACAGGTTCGGGACTGAGATCATCAATTCGATGGAACCCATCGCTGGACACAGAACCAAGTTTTCCCTTTCCGCTTGAGTTAAATCATCTTGCAGGTTGACTCTCGATGCCTTTGACCACCAGACTAAACTAGGTAGGTCGCGAGCCCTTAGCCTGCAGGGACAAATGTCGTGCCGGTACTCACGCCTGCCTGCCACGAAGCCTATCCCTCGATACAAGTCCGTGTTTTCCACCGGATGTTGTTGAAACTTTCTTTCTATGGGACATTTCAAACCATCAGTATCGTTTAGGAAGATGAATCAATGCAGAAAGATCATGCGTTGAACAAGCCACGATCGTCTACAAGACGGCCCATCGTGCCAAGAGAACCAAACTCCGTGCAACAGCCTCATAAGAGCTAGACTGATATGGCTGCTGAATTCCTAGTGCCGGCAACATAACTTACTTCTACGAGCTATTCAAATTCCCGTCACACTCGTACAGCACCCGGGTCGATCTTTTCTGCATCCACAACGTCGTCCGCTCCCTAATCGACTGATACCGTAGAACCAGTGTACGAAGAGCCGGATTCTCCATTCGGAGACGCATCAGCAATGTGCAAAAGAAAACAGGTACAGCACTTGTCAGAATCCCGAGACTGGAATTCTTTTGGAATGATCAGAACCTGGAGTGAACCCAATATCTGGCCTCAAAGCCTCAGGAACTGGCCCTACTCGGGCCCGGCTACTGACCTCCATGCCTAACCGTAGGCACCTTAATAGCTAATCTCTCCAGCGCAAGGTAACATGCAGACAAGCTAGAAAGAAGCAGCTTCTTACACAAATATTTTGTAGAGGATTCGACTTGCTTCGGGTGCTATTGTCTTTCGTCTGACCGAAGTGACGAGAACTTCAATCAGTCTTGCCGTCAAAGTCACGGGCCGCTGTGATCACATCAGCCGCCAATAGGGCGCAGACGTCTACAGTACAATGCGACGCAAGGGAAGACACTACGAAAGTAGCTCCTTGAACGAACCATTTTGGCCGACACCTGAACTTGAGGTGGGAATGAATTACACAGTGGCGAGAGAAAACGCCTAGCTGATGATCTTACGATTCAGACGCTCTTCTCAGAGCACAGACCGACAAAGATGTCGCTGCTTGTGATGACTATCAGCAGCCTTGTATCTCAAAGGGAAACAGAAACGGCGGAAACGGCAGAAACGACCACGACTTTGTTCGCAATGAAAAGGCTGCATCAGCCCATCGCCAACTGCTCTCACGTTTGACTCTGGCCAGATCCACGCACCATACCCATAGGTTGGGTGAAATGATTCCTAGAGCCGTTAGGTGACGCAGTGCCGCCTGGCGAGGCATCAATCGAGGACGTGTACGATTCTGTACCTACATCGCGGCTTTTCCTGCAAACTTCGATAGATCCAAACTCAGCTGGACTTCTTTCAATAATTCCGATGCGCTCGGCTCCGACCACGGGTCGGTGCATCAGCTCTCGGTGCATGGGTTTCCCCGCAGCTGCTCCACGCTACACTCACCCAGCTACGGGGTAGTCAATTCATAAAACGGAGTAGTCTGTAGTTGAACTAGCCAATCCACGGCAATGCGAGGTCAGCAAAGATCTCGACAACACTGCTCGCGGCTCGGCGCTGCTACGAGGCTACGTAAACCTACTCTCGACATTTCTTCATCTTGAGACGCTCGAAGCGTTCTCAAGTGGCCTGCCCGACGGAGCCATGTTGTCCCCCACACGAAGCGCTCTGCGCTTCGGGCGAGCATCGACGTCGCGGTCCCTAGCACTTGTTCGATGGCTAACGACGCCAACTAGGCAAGCTTATATGAGCCCTCTTGAGCCCGTTGGTTTTACAAATTTCCCATCACAGACTCACAACATACTCACCTCGAATTCGGTAGTATAATAGCCTAGATTACGGTAGCCGATTACAATCGCTTCGCAACGTACAAAAGAATCATCGCCGCCCTCTCACGCTCTCGGAAAAAATACTTTACAGTCACCTTATTTCTGACCAACACGAATGGTCTCTTCACAGCATCGAACGAGGCAAGACAATCCTTCAATTGAGACCTGACCGCGTAGCATGCCACGACGCTACCGCCACGATGGCTCTCCTCCAATTCATCAGTGCTGGCCTTCCTCGAGTTCAAGTACCTACTACGGTGCATAGCGATCACCTTATTGTCGCGGAGTATGGAGCAGAGGAAGACCTTTCACGCGCAGCGAACGAGCACAGTGAGATCTACTCGTTCCTGGGGAGCGCGGCGAAGAAACATGGCATTGGGTATTGGAAGCCCGGTGCGGGCATCATCCATACGACGATCTTCGAACATTATGCCTTTCCCGGTGGACTCATCATCGGTACCGACTCTCATACCCCTAACGCTGCTGGTATGGGAATGGTGGGCATTGGCGTCGGTGGCTCGGACGCTGTCGACGCTATGGCTGGTATGCCTTGGGAGCTGGTCTGTCCCAAAGTCATTGGCGTGCACCTCACCGGCGCGCTCAACGGTTGGGCTTCTTCTAAGGATATCATCTGTAAGCTTGCCGGTATTCTCACGGTCTCTGGCGGCAAGGGAAAGATCATCGAATTCTTCGGGCCCGGTACTGAAACCTTGAGCGCGACGGCTATGGCCACTGTGGGGAACATGACCGCGGAGGTGGGCTCGACGTCGTGTGTATTCCCTTATTCACCCGCCATGTCTCGGTACCTTGTCGCGACCAACCGGGTGGATATTGCAAACCATGCCGATGCTTTCAAGCAGGATCTCCTTACAGCCGATGAGGGAAGTGACCGCTACTACGACGAGATTATCGAAATGGATCTCTCTACACTTGAGCCGCACATCAACGGACCCTTCACTCCTGATCTATCGCACCCGCTTTCCCAGCTTAGGAAGCACGTTGCAAGAAGTTCGTGGCCTGTGGACTTGAGCTGCAGCCTAGTTGGAAGCTGTACGAATAGCTCCTACGAGGACCTGGTCAAGGTTCGCAACCTCGTCTTGCAGGCCAAAGAAGCTGGCATGGACAAGGCCAGGATCCCTTTCCTCGTGGCACCTGGCAGCGAACAGATTCGCGCGACAGCCGAGGCGTCGGGTATCTTGAGCGCCCTACGAGATGCTGGCGCCACGGTACTCAGTAGCTCATGCGGTCCTTGCGTTGGTCAATGGGATCGCAAGGATGTTGATGTGGCCGACGCAGAAATCAATTCAGTCATTTCGAGCTTCAACCGGAACTTCACAGGCCGCCACGACTCAAACCCAGGCACCCACTCTTTCGTCACGTCCCCGGAGCTTGCTACCATATTTGCCTACGCTGGGAAGCTGACCTTCAATCCCGATACGGATTCGATCCCACTCTCGGCTGCTGGGACGACAGTCTCGGCTGCTGGGACGACAGCAATACCAAGCTTCAAGTTTATGCCGCCCGAGTCCCATGAACTCCCAAACATCTTCTCTCCAGGCGAGGATAGGTTCCAGCCCCCTGTGCTCACGTCCACCGACGAACTGACGGTGGACATACACCCACACAGCGATCGCTTGCAGCTCCTCGCACCTTTCATGCCCTGGCAGGATGGCAACGCTAGTGACATGAATGTTCTCATCAAGGTATCTGGCAAGTGCACAACTGACCATATATCTCCAGCGGGGCCCTGGTACAAGTATCGCGGCCATCTTGAAAATATCAGCAACAACATGCTGCTTGGAGCGACCAACGGATTCCTGCCGGGCGGCTCGTCGACGAGTGTCGGCCGAGCCAGAGAACCCACCACGGGCGAGGTGAAGCCGGTGCCTGACGTAGCACGGTCGATGCGCGATAGGGGAATGCGATGGTGCATTATAGCCGACAACAATTACGGCGAAGGCAGTTCCAGAGAGCACGCAGCGCTAGAGCCACGATTTCTGGGTGGCACGGCGGTTATTGCGAAAAGTTTTGCACGCATCCACGAAACGAACCTCAAGAAGCAGGGCATGCTGCCGCTGACATTTGACGACCCAGTAGACTACGACAAGATCATTGAGGGTGACACGGTTTCGCTCATTGCCGTTGACGAAGGACAGCTGGAGCCTGGTAAGCCGGTCACCATGAAGGTGCGAAGGAGAGACGGGTCAGCATGGACGGCCCAACTCAACCACTCGTATCACGCTCATCAGATCTCGTGGTTGCGAGCCGGGAGCGCGCTGAACCACATGAAAAATACGGTGCTTGGTCAAGTATGAGCTCGTTTGATATGCCATCTATACCTTGTGGACGTTCCCAGTTTGATGGTAAACCACGAACCCCCTTCCCCCCCGGATCTCTAGAATTCAAGGCCTTTTCGTGGTGCAGCAAAGCACTTACATGATGCAACCGAGATGCATTGACAATTGGTCGACTGATACCATCTTCAGGGTCCCAAAGGAGAGAGATTGCATATCGCAAGTCTCTTCAATTTCGGGCCCGAATCAATTTTGAACATCGTCTCTGCCTGTCGTCTCGGAGGCGGTGGAAAGTGATTTGCGTGCAAGCTGGGCTGGTCCAGCGGAGGTTTTGCCGCGGCTGAATGGTGCTCCTAAGTCCCCAGCTGCGACTGCAGTGCATGCATGGCATGTCTGCGGGAATCGTGCTGAAGTTGTTGAACGCAGGTCCATGCACCAGGAGAAGCGGACCAGTTTGTGCCCTCGACGTCGGAACGAAGACGCGATGAGACAAAGAAACGAAGTTCTCATCGGGTGAGGGCGGTATAAAGGTCGTCCAGCGTGAGGATATCGGACGAACTGAAAGGATGTTTCAGAGGCAGGACGATGAAAATGAAGGCACCAGCAAACAGTCAGGATGGTGCCTTGGTCCGAATGGCTGACAGTGACGGGCGAATGCGGCGGAGGGACCATTTGAATTTGATTCTGGTAGCGCACAGCATCGCTATCGACGACCAGTTGGACGCTGCTCTTCTGTTCTCCTGTCTCACGATGGCGCCCAGAAGGCACCTTCGTTTCAACCCCGTAATGGCTTCCTCCGCCAGCACCCTCGTCGCGCCGTATTGTTGGGGGATGCGGCCAGGGTCAGGCAGGCGCAATGGCTTGAGGATCACGTGGAAGGAGGAGCACCTCCCTTGAAGCACCCCTGGCCTGGTCATGTTCAAAAGGCTAATGAATACGGTAGCAAGGCAGGCAGGCAGGCAGAGCCAGGCAGAGGTCTCAAGCAGGCAGAGGTCGCAATCCAGGGACAGCACATGGCGGCAGCTGCAGCAGGTAGATCCTGCCAGGGCCGGGCCACCAGGGCCAGGCAGGGCAAGACCCCCCCCCCCAGATCGAGCACGGCCCACGCCGCACAGCCAATCCGGCTCTTCGGCAGGTCCCAAGATCCAGGGCCTCGTCTCAAGTTGGCCTTTGGTCCCCCCCATTTCGTCCCCTCACCACCAATGCTCGTCAATCGCACCTCCTCTCCCTTCCTCACCACCACCTGCTGCTACAGATTTGGTTTCACACGCCAGCACCTTCGGGCTGTTCAGCCAATGGCCCGCCCATGCACCTCGTTGACAGCCGACGACCAGACGACAGGAACCGCATCATCATGCTCCGTTGCTCCATGGACCAGGCCCCTTCCCTGCGTCGCTCAGTGATCGGACGGGAGATGGACCTCGCCAACCACTGCTGCGACCCCTCTTTGACCTTGCACTTTGTCTTCGAAATGCCCGAGTTGCGCCCCCTCTGGACACCGTTCTCTAGGGCTGATGGTCAGCGGCACAAACGGCGCTTGGATTTTCTTGGGCTTTTGGCCTCGTGAAACGGGCCTTGAAAATGGTGCGTTGGAAACGAAATTGAGGGGAAAGGGGGCGAGCGACAACGTTCGTCTCGTGCTTGCATGACCATGTCCCTGTCGAACTCTGGCGGCATGACGGCCGGCGTATATCTCCCACGCACCGCCGCCCATCCTCCCACCGTCGGAGGATTCCTGGGAGAGTCAGTCGATCACCACGGCTTCGCTCTTTTTGCGCAGCTAGCTCTGTCCAACCACGTTCCTTTCTTTTTCACGCCTTTTCAGTTCCTCTTACCTTCGCTTCTTGAAATCTGCAGTGCAGGTCCCTGTTTACTTCACTTCTCACCTTCACTCGCTCATCAGGTCTACCTCTTCTTTCGCACGCCATCATGCTGTCCCAGCACGTACTTCTCTCGGTGCTCGCCGCCCTCGTCGCGGCGACCCCGACGCCTCGCCGCCGTGCCGTCGAAGCTCTCGATCCCGACGCCACCGCCGAGGCCCACCGACGGGATGACGCTGCTACTCGTGCCTTTGCCAATGTGTCGGTCCAGACTGCCGACGGCCGATGCCTCTTTGTCGACCCCCTGTCCGGTGATTTTCGTGCGAACTTGACCCCCGTGCAGCTCGCCGCCTGCGGATCGACGGAAGGCCAGAGCTGGGATGTCATTACCGCTGGAAAGCACAATGACCAGCCAGGCCAGGTTCTCTTCGTGAACACCTTGGTATGCCGGACCCTCATGCACCAGCAAGGACTCTTTAGCTGATCATGGCAGACTCAAGCATGCCTCAATTTTGACAGCCGTAATGGCAACGTCAACCTTTTCTCCTGTGGCGGCCGCGCGGCTGGCGAGGGCGAGGTCACCGACTCCCAGCTCTTTGCCTATGGAGGCCGCATGGCACTATCTCTGAAGCCGAAGAACGCCGAGGGCCAGTGTCTCGTCGCAAACGGAGACACACTCGGCGTAGCCGCTTGTGCCGAGGGCGAGACGACGCAGAGGTTCAATATTGGAGGCATGTCTATCCGGTGGAAGCGGAGTCCTCACGGTGCCGGCTTCGGGGCCGGCACTCCCTCGTTTCTAGGGGGTTCAGGCAGCACGGGTGGCCTCCCCAACTTGGGTGATCTTTTCGGTGGCGGTGGCGGTGGCGGCGGTGGCCGGGGACGCGGGGGAAATGGGCGTGGCAAGGGCGGTAACCGGGGCGGAAATGGCAACGGCAACGGCAATGGAAATGGAAATGAAAATGGCAATGGCAACGGCAACGGTAATGGAGGTGTTATGCCACCTCCCGCTGCTCCCCCGGTTGCTCCTCCCATCGCCGAGCCCACCCAGCAGCCTACCGCACCGAACGGGGCTCCAACACCAATCTTCTCAACGATAATTCCCAATGGCGGTAACGAAGGCGGCAATGGCAGCGGGAACGATACCGAAGTCCTACCTTGCTCGACAGCGGCCTCCCTTACCAGCTCCACGACTTCAAAGGCTGCCCAGCCCTCGGCGCCCCCGGGTGCACCAACGCCTATCTTCTCCCCCGTTGCCCCCAATAGCGGCAACGGTGGAGGTAAAGCCAGTGGAAAGGGGGACAACGCTGGAAGTAATGGAGGTAACCAAGGCGGCAATAACAACGACGATAACGCAGACACATCCGCTCAGACATCGTCTTGCTCCAAAACCAGAACCAGAAGGACCAGGTCTGCCGCTCAGCCGACCGCTCCACCAACTGCACCCCCCGGCGCCCCGGAGCCTATTTTCTCGACTATTGTTCCTGATGCTGGAAATAGCGAGGATTACAACGACGGTGATGGTAGTCCTGCGCCGGTTTTGTCCTCGTTCACAGGGACCGACGTATCTCGGGCGCCACCTGCGGCCACAGAGCCACCCACGCAGCCCTCGGCTCCCGAAGGCGCCCCTACACCAATCTTCTCTACCATTGTTGGCGGTGGTGGCGCGGGTGCTGGTGGGGGCAAAGGCGACGGCAACGGCAACGGGAACGGCAACGGCAATGGCAACGGCAATGGCAACGGCAACGGCAATGGCAACGGCAAAGGGGAGGACAAGAAGGATGACGCCGGTCCCGAAACACCCGGTTCTACCACACCCGCCAACCCCACGGCTCCGATCCCCGTCTCCGGGGCCGGTGGTACACTCAACCCCACAGCCGCGGCGGAGGCGCACCAATTTGACTTCTGGCGCCACCCGTCCCATGCAGTTTCGTCTCTCTCCGAGCCTCATCCGGCGAGTGTGTGTCCGTTGATCCCACAGCTGGCGATTTTTCGCCAGAACCTTGATCTTCTTCGCTCTTCGTACCCTGTTCTGGAGCGCCTGAGCAGAAAAATTTGATTTTCTTCACGGTTGGTGTCCTTCAATGATGGGTTCCAGCCCAGGGATCTGCTCTCGTGGTGAGTGTTGTGACGAACGGCTGATGACAACGTGACCGTATTTTCTTGCGGTGGACGTGCCGGCGGCGAGGGCGAGACGGACGTCGGGCAGCTTGTTGATCTCAAGGGCGCTAAGGAGGGCGAGTCGTTCGTCTGGCAGCCAGCCAACGGAAACGGACAGTGTATTGTTCCTGGGCAGGGCAGGCTCGTACTTGGTGCTTGCGGTGGAGCGGATTCGACCTTTGATATTGTCCATGTTGGGCCTGATGCTAAATAGATTGATCATGAAGTAGTGTAACTTTGTATTATTATCATTCCGATGCAGTCATGTCTGCCCAGCCTGTTCTCTTCTTGCATCAGGTACGGAGTTGAAGCCCACGGTCGGGTGCAACGATTTGACGAAGATGTGAGGTCAATCATGACCGAATTTTCTTGGACATGTGTGACATGCTTGACCTCTTGGCACCGCCCACAGTAGGGCCTCAGCTTGCAGGGCTGGTGTTCATATCTGGGGGTAAAATGCAGTGGTTGGTGTCAGAGCAGAAGATAAAAGTGTCGTATGAACTCAAGTGCATCAGCAGTGCCATGGACAGTGTGTCAGGCTCTCGGCAATAGCGCTACAGCCCATGATTTCCCTTCAATCCGCGCATGCAATTGATGCACATCACGACAAAGGGACGCGCGCTGGTATCGACAGGCGTTGCTGTCTTGGATTCTCGTGGGGCGAAGCTTGTCTGAAAGCTTGTACGTGACGAACACTATCAAGCTCACTTTGACTACTGCATTGCAGTTGACGCGCCACTAAATCATTCTGGGCAAGGCTTGTATGGGTACGTATCTTATCTGCGATTACCACGTGCAGCCGCCTGCGGTCTTCGATCTTCCCGCTCCCCTCACTAAGGTAGACCTCTGGAGTTTGTCTCCTCACCGTCATCATCTTGATCAATTTCCTCTTTCATCAATTGCAGCATCGCTTTCTTCCATACTACGTGGTAGTTATACCCTCTGGAAGGGCCGGGCCGCAACTTATGACCCTAGCCCAAAGCACGACGACACACGGCCTGACCACTCGCAACCCGTTTCGACCCTGGCCAACGATCTGCTGTTCTGCCATCATCCTGGATGCCAGTAGCCCTGCAGAGCACCGCCTCGCGCTCTGTCGGCCATCGTCCGTGAGACAACACTTCTCCAAAACACTCATGTCGCCCACCTCCAACCGTCTCTGCCACGACCTCTTGCGGTCATCACCATAACCAGCCATGGCCGAAGACTCGACGCAATTTCCTGTCCTCCAGAAGGTCGAGACGGCTCCCGACGAGCTGGTCTCGCCGCACACACAGCCCCTGAAACTCAAGACCACCATCAGCCCCACCCCAGGCCTGGCACATCGCACGAACACGGCCTCTTCCGATCCCGAAACTCCCTTCTCCCCCGTCCGCCGACGTGCCGATTCTCGCGCCAACACATTTCGAGCGGTCGACGATTACGATGATATTGCCTTCGACTTCGAGTCACACCGCCCAGGCTGGCAGCCCGGCTCTGAGCCCGGCTACGACCCTTCGAAGCCGGACGGAGGACACGCCTCGGTCCCCGCCCTGCACGCCGAGTGCGAGATCACCGTGGCCGACTTCGACGAGGGCCGTGTGGAGAGCCGATCCTTTGGCAACGAGGACTTTATCGAGTACCTGCAGCGGCCGCAGCCCGCCTGGAGCAAGTGTCGCTGGATCAACATCAACGGCCTCAGCTGGGACGTCATCCAGGCCTGCGGTCAGCACAAGGGCCTGCACAAGCTGGCCATTGAGGATATCATGAACACCCGCAACCGTACCAAGACTGACTGGTACCCGATCACGCCTTTATCCTTCTGACGCTGCAGAAGCTCGTCCGGCTCGTGGATCCTGACAGCGACAGCGACAGCGATTCCGACTCGGACAGGAGCAGCGTTCTCACGAAAAAGTCAGCAAGGGGCTTCATGCGGGCGAAGAGGTGGATGAGCGGCAGCGGCCCGGATGCCGGAGCCATGAAGGACTCTGCAGCCAGGACAGACCCGGAGAGGGCTTCGTGCCGGCGAAGACGGCGCACATGTCTCGCCGTGACCGTGTCAAGGCCAAGCTCGGATTCAGCGTCGAAGACCCCGACCTGACGCCAGACGACAGCATTCTCGTCCGTACGCTGCAGCGTTACCATGCCTCGCCGAATGAGGCTCGTACCGATTACATGGAGAAGCACTCGTCGCTGAACTCGCGTGACCTTGCCGTTAGTGCCGAGCAGGTCTCGATCTTTCTCACCTCAGACAACACTGTCATCTCGTTCTTCGAGGTGTCGGCTCGCGACATCGAACGGCCGATTGCGCTGCGTCTGTCTACCCCCGGCACGATTCTGCGGCAGTCGTGTGACGCGTCGCTCCTCGTCCAGGCCATCATTGATGCCATTATCGATCTGGCTCTTCCTCTGACGGCTGTCTACCAAGATGTCATTGGGGATCTCGAGCTCGACGTTCTGACGTCGCCTAGCATCAAGCAGAGCAGACAGTTGTACATCTGCATTTCCGAGATCAACAAAATGCTCACGTTTCTGAATCCGATCGACAATGTGGTCAACGTCTTGCGCGATCACGCGACCGACCTACGTCCCGACATTGCGGCGCGCGAGCTCCATAACCCGGCCTCGGGCGTCATCGTCACGCCTCTGACGCACACGTACCTCGGCGACGTCCTCGATCACTGCGTCATCATCACGGAAGCCATGGAGCAGATCAAGCGCAGCGCCGACAACCTCATTGACCTTATCTTCAACACCATCTCGGCGAACCAGAACGAGAGCATGAAGCAGCTGACTGTCATCACAATCATCTTTCTGCCGTTGACCTTCATCACGGGCTACTTCGGCCAGAACTTTGAGCCGTTCCCACAGCTCGCCTATGGCATTCCTTACTTTTGGAAGATTGCAGCGCCCGTCGTCTGCATCACCGTGACGGTCATGATGCAGGGCTGGATCCGGCAGTGGATCACGAAGATCTTGGCGAGGAGACAGATCGTCGCGGCCAGAAAGCGGGGCCAGAGGAAGAGGAGAAAGCAGGCATAGGAGACGCCTGCGAGCGTCATCGGCGGACGGAAAGCGAGCAGTCTGTTTGCGCAGGCTGAGAGGCGGCAGTGCTCCGGGTGGTGTGGGAGTTGAAGCGGCATGCACGTCTGCGGCGGTCGTTTGGCGTTTGGGCTTGATACAAGTGCTTTGAGGCTCGTTTGAGTACGATACCCCCTTTCTGTAGCAACTTTGATTGCTTTGATTAGAGTATGCTTGCTTCTTGTTGTGTTAGATGTGGGAATAGGGGCAGGCCCCGTTAAGCGGGATCCGTCCGATATTCGGCGGGGCTCTGCCGCACGTGATGATAACCATGTCAACATTCTTTTCACTTCTCAGCGACTCGACATGCTCATACCTCACCGTCTCAAAACTCACGCATCACTTTGCCCTCAACGAAGCAGAAACGCCGCACCTTGCGTACACTTATTTGCCAATACGTGGCCAAAGTTCCAAATCAAAAATCGTCACACCGCCCAGCACCATGTCCACACAACAAACCATCCCGGCCTCGGACCCCACAACGGAAGCTCACATTACCGATTATCACGCAACCCGCTGCCTCGCCTCTCCGCTCTACGCCTTCCTCCTGTCCCCGGCGGAGCACGGCCTCCGTCTGACCCACGCCTCGCGCGGGCGCGTCATCTTTCCGCCTCCCCATCGCGGCCTGCCACCTCAACGCCGCCGGCGGCCTTACACGGCTCCGTCTCGGCCACCATTGTCGACTGGGCCGGCGGCCTCGCAGTCGCGGCGTGGGACCTGCGCGGCGCACGGGTGTCAGCGTCGACATCCACGTCAGCTACGTCAGCAGCGTGCGGCTCGGCGAGGAGGTCGAGATTGAGGGCTCCGTGGACAAGGTCGGCGGCAGCCTGGCGTTCACGACCGTCGGCGTGTGGAAGGTGGAGGAGGGACGGAGGGGAGCCGTTGTGATTACGGGCAGGCATACGAAGTTTGTCCGGGGGAAAGCGCCTGCGAAATAGGCGGTTTTGAGAATCTCGTCGCTGGTGGCCGCAACGACGCGGCGGCTCGATGGAAACTGGTGTGCAATCGACACATGATGCACAAGGTCTCTGTCGGGAACTTTCGTCCCCTATGAAGAGTATCTCTTCCTCGGGTTTCGCCTTAAGTTCCATTTCCTCTCCTCTCAAAGGGACTGGCAGTTCTGTTGTTCACGTGGATTCTCGGAATACATTGTTATGAGGACATCATTCGGCAACGCGAGCCTCGGCCAGTTCTTTTCTACGACGTTTTCCTCTCATTCGTTTTTCTTGTAGTTTTATTGGAATCCCGTCTGTGTTGACTGGTCTTCCATATATGCCACAGATCCAATCAAAGTTACGATAAGGTAGAGCTTCAGAGTCAAAAAGTAGATCAGTGACTTCAATGGTCAAAATCATGCAAGAGCCGTGCAATCGCAAGGGCATCAACATTACTCATTCAAGTCCAGACTATCATCTCTTGGGCTCTGACAACTTCAGTCCTGATTTGAATGAATCTGCAACTTGTCCAATAATGGCAACAATACCAAGCTCAGCAGTAAAAGTTCATGCGAGCTTTGAGACTTGGCAGTCCATGTCGACGGCCAATCCTTACAGACCGCCTGCCACGCATTTCCCACCATTGAAAGCCGCCGAGGCGGCTGCCCTCCAAACGGCAGAAACATCGTTAACCATCTCTTGCGTGTAGAACAGCCGACAGTCAGCAGCACGGTAGACATACTGGCTCGGCAAACCGTCGTCGATGTGCTCGGGGAGAATGGCGTCCTTGCCATTGACGACGCCGTCCGTGCTGCGATTGAAGGCGAGTGGAGTGTATCTTTCCAGAGCAGCCCGATCTGAACCAGATACTTTGAACTTGAGTGCGAGCTGTGCATAGAAGTGAATGTCAAAGAACACGATAGCCTGTGGGGCTGAGACGCCGCCGATAGCCTGCATGTCACCCTTGACGGGCCGGCCGCCGATGGCGATTGACTTGACGCCGCCCTGGGTACGCAAGACCTCGGCTAATGTAGAGCACGTAGACATGCAGGTGCCGTCGTGGAGCATGACGATGTTCTCCGGCGCAAAGGGCGGCTCCATGTTGGCCCGGGTTCCGTAGCCGCTGAACTCGATCCCGAGGCCAAAAGTTGCGTTGCTGGCCTCCAGAGGGTCCGAAAGATTCCACCGCATAAGAGACGTGTAGGGCGTGTCGGCGAATATTTGGGCCGCAAACTTATCCTCTAAAGATTGGAAATTCAGGTTGGATGTGTTGAGGTCATGCCTCCAGTTGAACCACGTCTCAGCAGCCACAACAATGTCGTCGCTGGGGGTGGTCGCCAGATCCACTCCTGCGACGGCCTCCGAATAGGAGCGTGCAATGGCGTCGAAGCCTGGATTTTTTCGCCAGCGGCCGTTGTCCTGTGGCTTCTGCTGCGGGAAGAGCTGGCCAAATACCTCGTACCCCAGGATGGCGAAGCCGCCGGCGTTGGCCTGCAAGTCAATGATGAGCTTCTTTTTGCCGGCTGCCTTTGCGCTTTTGAAAAAGTCGTCCATAACAGATTGGAACTCTGCTGATGTGTCGGGATCAAAGTTGAGCACTGACAGCACGGCAACATCATCGAGACCATTCCCTTCAAGATAGTACCCAGAGATCACCCCATCGGCGGAGGCCCGTACAGGCTTAGGGTAATCGTCGCCTACTGGCTGGTCGGCACTGGCGGCTTGTGAATTGTCGCTCACGAGCTGGGTCTCGACGGACGAGTCGTCGGTTGCCCGTGGGGAGCAGAACGTTTTGTAAAAGCTAGGACCATCAACTACTCCCGTCATGTTACCCTTGACCAACGCCTGGTTTTCAAAGGTCACTTTGGTTCCGTTGTCAAACGTGAGGGAAGTCTGCGGGCCTTGGTAAACGTATCGGAGCCGGCCACTGCCTGCAAAGTAACCTGAGCTGAGACCGGCTGCAGAGTAAGCAGCCGAATAAAACATGCTGTTGTAAGCAGCGTCTGGGTCGCGGGCCCACGTCACTTGGTAGATGGTGTCCTCGAGGTACTTGACTGGGTCCTGGTCGTTTATCTTTGTGACTGTAGGAGCAGTCGACGGTGATGCGATTACATCCTCTGCGGTCAGGTCAATTACACCGTCTTTTTGGTACCTGTTCAAGTCTGAGCAATAGTCTATGCAACGTCACTTACCGTAAACCTTGATTACCGGCAACGAGGTGCCATCCTCGCTAATGGATACCAGAGAGCGCTGTCGTTGCCACTGAAAAGCTCGACTTAAGGCATCTGGGTATACGACCATGTGAGAGTCATGAGCAGGGCCAAAGACGCTCCTGTAGAAGTCGTCCTGGAAAGAATATTCGCTGTCATACTGTCCTGTGGCAACTTTCTGTCGTACTTTTTCCATTGCCGCATAGTAGTCATGAGGAGGAAAGAAGTAGTTCGGTGGCGGGTTTGCCTTGTACGTCGGATCGGTCTGCCAGTCAAGGTAAGGTGCGATAGAGTCAAGGTAATCTAGCGCAGCCTGCTGACCAAGAGGAACAGACTGGAGACAGCTATGAGCTATCTTGGCTGGGACCACGGGCAAGGCTTGAAGGTCATGGTCAACGGAGCGTTTTGAGTAGGGCGGAAGGGTCTGCCACTCACATGCAGGATCGGCAGCAATCTGCTCAGCCCAAGAAGCGCTCACTGCGGCACATGGTTCCGTTGTCTGACTTGCCCTCAGCTTTCGGCCAGGGGTTGTGAGTGTCGCTGAGGCCCCTAAAACCCATGCCACAATCAGAGCCAGGGGCCCAGTGGAGAGGCGAATGTCGCGGAGTCTCATTGTCAAGATGGCCAAGATAGCACAACTTGGTGAACATAGGAGAAGTAATGGTTTTCTAAGTGTTGATAGTGGCGATCAATCAGCAGCAGCCACCCAACTCTTTAAAGCAGACTTACTTCATTCAATGGACCTCATCATTTCATGAATCGGTCCCGGACTTCGGGACAGCCGGTGATGGGATGATTGGGCTTGTGACCCAGGCGTACGAACACGGAAACGAAGGCAAGGGACCACCACTAGTGATATGCGAGCCGAGACTTTAATATCGTCGCATTCGCACCGCTTGAGGTTGCCAATGTGACAGATTGAGAGTCGATCCGGCTACTTCGGCGCGGCTTGTAATCGGCAGGCAGGGATTCAAATTGGCGGAAAGTCCAACTCCTACCTGTGCTTTCTCACCCGTGCTTTCCGGGCGCCTGCTCCGGGGTAGCACAACATCCAAAGACAGAAAGAGAGGTTGCAGCTTTAAAGGCCAAACTTAAGAGTAGAGATTGAGGGTTGGTCTTGATCTGTTCGTTTAGAGACCAAGTAACTCAATCGTAGATACGAGTCAGCCCCTTGCCATTGTGAAGTCTTTAGGTTCGTCCACCAGGACCTTGGTGGCCAAGCCACTCGAGAGATAATCCTTAGCTCCACCACCAATGGCACACATTCACTGATTGCAGCTTCCGGCTATCGCGAACAAGCTAGCTAGTGATCAAAGGCACAAGAACGCCGGCTGGTGTAACCCTTTGCGAAGGTACGTTACAATTAATCTACTCTATGACGCCAAAAGATCAGTTTTGAGGTTCGAATTAGCCTGATAGAAATCGGCTGATGGAAAAAGTGTTTAAATGGAATGATTGTTGCCTCTGGTGGTGCACGTATCTTAACAGCAGCCATCACTGTTTCCTCGGAGGCCGGAGCTGATGAGGATCGGCACCGTCGGAATCGGCACTGGCTCCGAGCGCAACACCGGGAGCAAGGCCGACAACGCCTGCGTTGATGCTACCGGCTACCAGACCTTTACAAGTGCTTTCCGAGCCCCGGAAGCGGCCCACCGATGGTATGAATCGTTGACTACCTAGTACAAACTCACGAGAGCATAATTTGGCAACCGGATGCCTATGGAACATGCCAAGAGACGCATACCGCTGGCGGTAACCTGCCCCGCTGAACGTGTTTCTTCGGCAGTTATATCAATCACTGCGTAAACTTTTCGAGGTTGAGTCTTAAGCCATCCTCAGTTACGACTCGTCACAAACCTCCATTGCTCTGCCTGCACAGGCCCACAACAGTCCCACAACAGTCAATTCCTACGCCAATTATCACACTAAATGAGAGTGGAATAGCAAAATTACATCAAAAACATACAACATCAGGGGTTCGCTGGTGGTCACCCACCCAACTACTAGTCCGACCCTTACTGGCTTATCTATGGGAGAGCGGACGGGATCCCGAGTTCTCCAGTAGGTATGGTCGTATGTGACTGTTGAAGGTGGTACGTAAGATTATAACCCTTCAACAAGAGACCCCCAACCATGAGGATGGAGACGAAGAACAATCTGGCGTGGCCTTATCACCCTGAAAGAATTCGTCCAGCGAACTACACAACTACAGTTCCGGAGTATGGAATATTTTCCAGGGGCTCCATAGAATCATTTTCAGGGTTCCGAAAGCACTGAGCGATATCGATATCATCGTTTCTGTTGTTAAAGCACCGCCTGAACGTCTTCCTCATTATCGTTGCTGGTGAAGGTCACCCATGAAGATGCCTAGTACAATTATATTCAAAGAAAAAATTCAGCAGCCGAATTGCATTGTTACATTGTTGGAAATGTGGAGTTGCCTGAGTAATTGGCATAAAGCCTTCATCATAAATTTGCATTCTTCCCTCCCTTCCGCGATCATGCCTCCTAGATTCAATCTTTGGCGACCAACTTGGACTCATCGTCTGCGTAATCAATATGTCAGCTATAGACTTAGCACACATCCGCTTTACTACTTACTCCCGGAAAGGTCAGCGAATATTCGACCGCCTTCAACGATCAGACCAGCACCT